CTTAACCGTTGCGGTGAGGAGGGAAACTGGGTGCTGCATCCCAGACATAACAGCACCATGATTGCAACTTGAGTCGAGTGTGCGCTCTATGGAGTAACAGTAATAATAGTTGGGAGTTCAAGAAGCATTTTTAACTGGAATGTCTGAGAAGGGCAGCTCGATGAATTCTGCATCGATAGCCCGCTACGCGCGTCACTTGACAAACGTGGATGTTTTTTTGCGTTCCTCTTTGTATGCCACCGATGGCAACAGTCGCTTAACTTTTAAATTTTTAGGTCAGTGTTGGCAGCAACATTCATCCTATTATCCGAGATTATCCGTGGATCTAGGGGCTTGCGTAGGAGCAAAGCCCCTCCGGGGTTAAGCCAAAAGCTCCCCGCTCGGCAGCACAAACATCGTTGGGCGTGGGCGGCGCGCTCCTGCCGACGATCTTCGCTGCCGTCGCCTCCGCCGCCTTCGTTGCCAGGGGTGGCCGCTGCTCTTCGACCGCGGTGGCGACGAGAGAGTGACGGTCGTCGCCGTCCGCTGCCGCCCCCGCTGCCGTCGATGTTTGAGATGGGCGCGACGGTGGCGATGGCGGACGGCCGTGTGGTGGTGATGGATAACTACAATGAGAAGTGTTCTTGCTATTGACTGTGCCACGTGGTTTTTTTTCCAGGCTTTTTGTGACATCGTTACAATTGACGTCGTTCATGAATGTTCTTGGACAGCGCTCTGTGTTCGATATTTTGAATATTTACTTTTTAACCACAAGTCCGGTGTCTGCATGGGGGCGGGCAGCTGCTTAGATTTTCTTCCTCCATGAGCTTCCGTTCTGTGCCTCTTCTGTGTCCATCTCCGCGGTCTTCGTATCTTGCTCCACCGCATCCTCCCATCTCAACCCCTCGGTCTCCCTTTGCTGCTCCTGCCCTGCACCGGGGGCGTCGTCTCCACCAGTGCCCGATGAAGCTAGTGCGGGGCCTGTAGCATATGTTATAAAGAGGCCCTAAATATATATATATAAAAACATAACTATTAAAACGCATGCATTTCTAACTTGCATAGTAAAGTCATTGTTTTTTTTTCATTTGCTATACAGCCAGATAATACAACAAATCGCTTAGCTTAAACACCCAGTCGTTCATAAAAGTTGAAGGCGGTATAGTACTATAGTAATGGAGCAAGTGCAGAATCGCTGAACCGGAAGAGTACAGAATTGATAGCTTGAAAGCATTTATCGCGGGGACCTTGAAAGTGCGTGGGGCCCGTAGCGGCTACATGTGTAGCTACTTTTAGGAGAATCCGGCACTGGTCTCCACAGCCCTTCAACTCAAAATCGTTCGAGTTGATGTCATAAATTAATTAATTAATGCCCAGGTGCAACGGGGTGGGGCCATTTGGGGAAGGGGCGGGGCGATGGGAGGGGCAGGTGGCTCTGCACGGCCAATGGGATGCGTGCGTAGGACAGTCTGTCGGTCACAGCAATCTTCGCCATACAGATCCCGGCAGGGGCTCGTTCCGAACGCGAGCGTCGTCGGCCGTACACCCATGTGCAAGCGATGACCTGCCGACTGTTGACCTAGGTGTGAAACACGCGAGTGGCAGCGAGCGGTTGCACCGCTTGGTAGACCTGGCGCCTCGTCGCACGCTCGTGCGGATGGGCGGTGTAGGCAGCTGGTCGCAAGTGGGTGAACGGTGATTGAGTGTTGGCAAAGTCTGTACAGGGTCGGGTGAGTGGTGGTGTCTGCGAATGGGCGATGGATGGAATGTGATCGTATATATTTTGCATGCTGAGTCCGCCATGGGGACACCCTTAGAAGGTCTGCTTTGTTGGCGATCAATGACATTAGTATAATATTTAACGACCCTTTGTAAATAATCTACCGCTGGACGAAGTCCTCATCCCCTTGTCGCGTCGGTCACACGTAGCCCTTTCTGTCTCTCCACTGCTGGATGAGGGCCTTCCCCACACCTTGTGGCTCGTGATGGGGGGTTTGGGCTTCGTGTGACCATACCTCACGCTAGTCTTTGTGGGTTGGTCAAGCCGTTGCAGCGTAGTACAGTACAACAACTGTTTGTTTGGCTACGCCGCTCCTCTGCTGACAATGCAGCCCCGCAGCATCCATGACCAAATCGTCCAGAATGCGCCTGGTCTAGTCAGGCCTCACAAGCTCAGCAGGCCTGAGCATGGAATAGGGACCACTGTGCAACATTCATTATAATTTCAGTAGGATATAATGACAATCGTATGCATTGGAATGCCTGACCAATGGCGTTATTTGAATAAAGTAATGAAGTTGAAGCGAAATCTGCAACCTGTAACTTTTTCTGTCTGGCTGCTGTCGCCATAGCTCGTCGCCCTTCTCTCTATGCGACGTCATCGATTCATCGTTGTGAAATTCGCTTGACAGTCGCCGTGACCGCCACAGCCTGCCACAGCCTGCCAGAGCCTGCCAGAGCCTGCCACAGGGACGCACGCACACGTTTGGCTTTGCGGACTAAAAATGGCAGAAATGTCTCTGCGATGGAGTCTGCGGTGGTGCGGTGGGGTTCTCTACCGTGCGCTCGGTGTTATACCTCCGCAAAAGTTGTTGCTCTGCAGCAATGGCAGCTGCACGAACAAGACCTCGGCGGTCACTGTTGATCGTGAAGATGCCCGTTGTAAATATTCGGGTTCGGTAACGAGAAGGTTGCGAGTTCACATCCCAGCTGGTGTATAGGTCTAGCCCATCATCATCCACTCGGGGTCTCTACAAGAGTAGTGGCAAGTCCGCGGTGGTTGTTGTGTAGGATGGGCACACCCGAGGCATGGGAATGTGGAGTTTCCCTCCGCTGGGGCGGTCGGACTGCCGACGGTTGCTTTGGCTCCTGGGGCGACTTCACCGTGGGTGCTGCCGGCACGGCTTTGTTTACGAGGTCTCTTCCTGAAATTATTAAAAAAAAAGCTTTTTATTTTTAAATCGGCGAATAGTGATTCTCGGATATCGGTGCACTTAATTGTTTTCTGTAAACAAAACAGCCCCCGCTACTCGGCCTCGCTCGCTGTGAGAAGCCTTTTGAGAGGCTTCGTTCTGTTAGAATTCCCCGAGGGCTCTTGGCGATGCCTGAATTGGAGCCGATTTTTGTGAAGACGAAAAAAACAACTTTGATGGAAGGGTCGGGGGGGACAAAAAATACTGCGGCAATTTTTTTTTACTTCTAAAGAAACAATAATAGACGGGCGGGCGTGGATGTTGGCAGGCAGCGCACGGTCGTTGCCTCGCCACCGCTGCGTCGCTCCGGGAGAGTGGACGTGTGTGGCAAAATGAGGCCTCTTGTTTTGTCCGCCAGAAACGTTTGCGGTGCGACGCACGGTTCCCGAGCGACTCGCTGGCACGAGCGGGGGGCGGGGGGGGGGGATGGGAGAGCAGGGGGGCCGCCAAGGCCGCTTGCTCGGAAGCTGCTAGAAGTTCTCTGGCGCGGCTCCTCTCGTCGTCTCTTGTGCCTTGCGGTGGTAGCGATGGTGTTATTTTCCCGACGGTGCCACTGTCGTGCCGAGCCTCGTTATGTTAATCCATCTCTGACACAAATCACGGGAAGTTAAGAATTGCCCGCGGTGCGACAGCAGTCGTCAGCACTCCAAGCGTGGCCCACATAATTATGCCACTGCATGCGAGTCCATGGGTCTGTGTGCGAGTCCATATCTCAAACCCTGCACCACGGAGTAATGTCACTGCTCGCTTTGATCATTCGCCGGCAGAGTTTCAGATATTCACCAGGCAGCTCCGGGGGTAGGGGACGCGGATGAGGGGGGGAGAGGTCCTTCAATCCCTCTGCTGAATGTTCGCGCTCCACGCCAGCTCATGTGCTCCACTACGGTCTGCGCTTGCTTTCCACGCTGCCACTGGGGGCTCTATCCGCGTGTGCCACGGGTGCTACGGGTTATTCGGTTTGGCTTGGCGCTGTTGGTTTCCAGGCAGGGTCTAATCTGGAATGGAGAGAGGCCCGGGGGGGGGGAAGGGGGGGGGGGTTCTGCGGTCGGGTCAATGGCGAGGCATGTGGTGGGGACATTCTGGTTCGTCGCATTCATTCTCAGCAATTCTTTCTCCACAATTCTCAACGGTTCATTCTGTGAGCAATTCTCTCCCGTTGTCATGGTGTTTGTGTGTCTGCTGCTTTCGTGTTTTCGATGTCACAATTGTGTCCAGACGATAACGATGCCTAAATCCCCCCAACGCGCAGAGTTAAAACGCCACGCCCGGGGATTCAGTCCAGCCGGGCGAGTCCGGGTTGGGCGACCCTTGGGGAAAAAAAGAATAATGATAACAATTCTGGACCCTGGCACACCACATTTAGTATCCAGCTACGGCTGTGACTCCTGCCAAGTCACGTGCCACCTCCTGTCTACCAACTTAAAAATGCTCAGGAATTCTCCAATATCACCTTACCATATATATAGGACTGCAGAGCTTGGGCAATTGTTGGTAGCATCGTTTCACTGCGTAGCTGCGCTCCCGCTCGTCTGTGCTTCCTCCTGATGCCTCAGAGTTGCTCGCTCTCTTTGAGCCGTGTTACAAGTTGAAATCGTCGTCGTTATGATTGGTATTATTACTACGAGTGACCCAGACACTGGTCGGTGGGACTTGACGCTCCTGTACAATGGTGTTGGATCTGAATGTAGCTCGCTCCTAGAATACCGCGCTCTAAGTTTAGAGCTCCCTCTCCACTTCTCACCTGCTTGATTAGCGCACTGTAGCGCGCCGGCTTAATAGATCCCGCGGGACCGCTGCGGACACGTGTACACGCGGAGTGGTGACATGCGTGTTTACCGTTCGTGTTCTGTCACACACTGCTCCCTCCCTCGGGATGACTGTTACAGAAACCTGCCTTGCGGTTGCTAGTTCGTGACTCAAATCCCCAGGTGCTGCATATTCGGTCATTGTAATTATCGGTCGTCTATCTAAAGGCGGCCGAGCCTGCGCTCCGCCCTCGCCCGTGGTTTTTCTAACGGCGCATCGCGCCGGGCTTCTTGTTCCTGGCAGGAGCGGCTTCACGAGATCCACGAGCAGTGCCAGCGCCACCCTCGGCAGCAGCCCTCTCACCCGAGCTGGCAGAAGCGATGGCGTCCGAGCTTCAGGACATCCAGTTGACCGAGGCGAAACCACTGCTGGTGGAGAACGTCCCCACGCCCGTGCCCGTCATCCCCGAGACCGCGGTGAGTGGCTGCGCCCATGCAACCGGCCTGGATCGTGCACTGCCGGGCGTGGTGCCAGCCATTCCCGCCTCCTCCTCATGGAGGAGGAGGCGGGAATGGCCTTGCCGGCCTTCGTAGGTGCTACTCGCTAATGGCACTTGCCCCAAACGGTCTCCTAAAGGCTATAACGGGGGGGCGTCTGTTGGATAAATTTGTCCTCCAGAAATACTGGAGGCAGGGCTGGGGCCGAACGCTTGCACCGTGGAGAGAGGCACCGGGCGGCTGAGACGGTGGCCTACTGCCAGCGAGCCTTCAACACACGATGTGGCCCCACGGCGTCATCGTTTGTTCCTGTACGCTAAGCCAGAGCCGAGCCGCGACTTTGCAATCTGGCCTTGAATGTGAGCAGCGGTAGCACTGCTGTCGGTCGCAGCCACCCGGGTTCGATGGTAGGCGACACTTGAGGCCGGTGGATGACTCAGCGCTCTTCCTGCCTTGACCTTCGACCTCTCTGTCGACCCCCCCCCCCCCCCGATCCGCCTGCAGGAAGGTGAAGTCTCTGCAGAAACCTTCATCGATGTTGAGAGCAAGGTACGCACGCAACGCACCAGGAGAAGCCCGTTAAATCACTGGGCTGCCGCCTGCACCTGGACCGACCTATGCCACGCGGGGCGGGGGGTGGGCGGGGGGTGGGCGGGGGGGGGGCGGGGGGTGGGCGGGGGGTGGGCGGGGGGGGGGCCGGGGGTGGGCGGGGGGTGGGCGGGGGGTGGGCGGGGGGGTGGGCGGGGGGGTGGGCGGGGGGTGGGCGGGGGGTGGGCGGGGGGTGGGCGGGGGGTGGGCGGGGGGTGGGCTTCATCCAGCAGCGGAGTGATTGTGGACACGCCTGGGTGGAGTCCCCACCCCGCATGGTTGTGTCTTTAGCGGCCGTCGTTTGTTTTTGCGTCGATGTGGCGCGCGTGCAGGAGCACGACATCCAGACGGGGTACGGCCTGTTGCACGTGACCGTACGCGGCTCTGGCAAGGGCAACCGCCCCGCAATCCTCACCTACCACGACATCGGCCTGAACCGTGAGTGGCCGCACGCCCCCACCGTGGACCGAGTGCATCGTGCGGCTTTCGTGGTCACCGCGAACCCCGTGGGACTACGAGAGCAGAATATTTATTCTTTTATCCTGGAGAAATCCGATGAGCTACCAATCTCTTTTTCACAGATATTCAGCAGCAGAAGGTCAGAAAGTTATAAGAACAAACATTACAAAAATACGATAGGGGTGCAAACGTGTGGGACAGGTAAGCACGCCACTGAAAATAAATTAAATATGTAAAGTGCATAAGTTCAAGTTGCATAAACACATCAATTCCCAAACTTGGTCAAGGCGGCAAACCAACAACAAAAAGAGTCCCAGACCGCACCAAGACAACACACCGTCCCTTAATAAAATTGCACATTTTAAATTGAACTCGTATAGAGTGAGGATGAAAGTTACCATCGGTACATGTGTAGATGTAGTGGGTTCTATTCAGGGGCACGCCAAGACTTGGAGGCAACACGTTTATTCACTAACACGAACAACACTGCTCAACGTTCCAAGGTTAACTATGTATATCCCGGGTAACTATGTACATTACGGGCCAACTACGTGAGGTGGTGGCCACCGTTCCTAGCCACCTAACCACTTGAACGGAATCACTCTACGGTTGAACGGGAACAGCCGACACGCCGTCCTGTCGTCGTGTGCGGAGACCGAAGAGCGAGCATCGGATACGGCGGCGGCGGCGGCTTCATTCTCGGGTCGAACAGCCACGCCCCCTCTTGGGACTCAGCTTATAGCTCCGCCCCTGGTCACGCCCCTTCTCGATCCTTTGCAGAGGTTCTGGTTCCACATCACGTGGCCTGCTCACCTCCTCCTGGGGGTCCCCATGCCCCCTCGTCCAGTCACGTGCTCTCGCGGGTTCACCCAGACTGTCGTGTCCTGACCCGATCTCCGTGACATCCGGAATCTGCCCTCTAGTGAGCCCCTAGGTATAGTACACCCACTGGCGCCACAGAACGGCTCGTTTATGTCGTTGCACGTGAAAGAGATGGCCAGGAGGAGGTAGGTAGCAGCATGGCAAATAAGTTGTTCACTTTTCTTTTGGTGGTGGGGCTTGCAGTGTTTTTCCCCTTATGAGCAGGTTTTTTTCCAGACACTCGCTGTTTCCGTGCCACATGCAGCACTTAAGTGACTGGCCAAACATAATTGCCAACACAAACTAGGATCTTCATCCTCGTCAACGTGAACATCATCAACATTAGTCATGAAGCGCGCCGCCGTTTTCTCTGCGTGCATGCCACCGTCCACCGGTCACTGCGTAAACACCACCACCACCGCTGCCACCATCATCATGATAGCACTTAATGTCGTGACTACCGCCATCATCGCTACCGTCGTATTTATTGCCGTCGTTGGCATCGTCGGGTGGTTGTGTGGCCATGTGGTGAGCAGCTCGCCGACTGTTCGGCCAGTCCTCATCCACAAACTGATATCCGGGGAGAATTCCTAATCCGTACTGTCATCCGTGAGTCGATGGCCCTCTTGCAGTGGCATGCGTTGTCGAAAACTTGAAAAGAAAAACATTTTTGTCATTTAAAAAACTAATACTTTTGACATTTTGAGGCCAGTGGAGCGACTTAAAGCGAAGCGTGTTGTCCGTGTTTACGACATGCTATAAAACTAATCCAGCATCAGGCCGCGTGATTGGCCGATTGTAGTGGCACCCGTATCCATTCGGTGGGGGGGGGTGGAGGAAATTGGCTTCAAACAACTTTACGCCCACAACCGACTTGTATACACACAGACACACAGCCCCGCGTGTCTCCTCTGCACAATCCCAGCACTTGAGAGTAAAAACACATGGGGACAGTGAGAGATGAAGCGAGCGCGTTGGCAGAGGAGGCTTCGCTCGTACAGTGTAAACAAACCGTCCAAAAACTACTGGAGACGGCCGCCCCGGTTTAACATCTGCAAGAGTTTTAGTGGCGCACACACACAGCTGCCCACGGCTCACACACACACACAGCTGCCCACGGCTCACACACACACACAGCTGCCCGCGGCTCACACACACACACAGCTGCCCGCGGCTCACACACACACACAGCTGCCCGCCGTGGTGTATTTTTAATTTTTATGCGGCGGATAGCGGGGACGTCCCGATCGCAGAAACGCAGTGGTGGGCGCGGGGGAGTGGCGGGGAGGGTGAGGGGGGGTGATGGGAGGGGGTGAGGGGTGGGGGGGTGAGGGGTGGCGGGGAGGGTGGGGGGGTGAGGGGGGAGGGTGAGGGGTCTGCAACTGAGAGGGAGGGGGGCGTTCCCGCGCCACTCGAGCTGCTCCGGTTTTGGCTTCCGTGGCTTGTGCAACAAATTGCAGCTATATAATTTTATATACATGGTATAGATATATTTTTTATTAGCCGAGAGCGCTCGCGAGCATTTGTTGTGCTCTGTGGACCCACCCCGAGTGGACCCACCCCGAGTGGACCCACCCCGAGTGGACCCACCGCTCAATCTGGCGCTCTCAGGAATCTGTGCCCTGAATGCCGGCCGCATTGCGGGAATTCCTGTCGCCCGCCTCCCGGTCGGGACGTCCGGTCGTCACCCCGGGGTAATTCCCTCTCCCTCCGATTGTCACAGGGAAGGAGTGTCGTCCCGTGGGTTTGGCCCCCTTAATTCCATTCGCGTAACAGCAACACAATGCATTGTGCGCAGCTGCTTAAATGCTGGCGAAATTCGCCCTGATCTGTAAACGCAGCTGGGTAAAGCTCCACGTCCGCCCATGCTGGCCTGGGGAGTGTGGCGAGGGAGCGAGAGGGGGGGGAGCGCATGCTCCGTGAACGGTGGCCACCGTGCTCGTTCGGAGAGCCGGAGTGCTTGGTCAGTTAAGCCGATTCGTCGCGGTGGCTTTACGTGGTTTACTCGGCGGCCGCCTCTCCCGGCCAGGCCCGGTATGACGCCGCGGATGATGGCGTCGCAAAGCCCCGCCCACCACCTCCCGTCCAGCGGCACACGTGGGTTTAGGCTCGTCTTCGTTTTTTTTCGGCGGTCTGCTCACAACCGCTTTCTCGTCTGGAATTTTTTTTTTCCATGGAGGATTCCCATCTTTTCCTGTAAATAGCAGCTGTCTTGCGGGCACTTTTGAACCCGCCCCCCATCGAGTTGCCAGGGCGGCTTCGTTGCAGCTGAAGAGGCATGAATGAAACCTGGCACACCGCATTTCTTTGGCGAGACGTCTGCAAGTTAACCCAACGAGGTTCATCTGCGCGCCCGGCATGCCGCCACCTTCCCTTATCCACGCGCCGAGGTTGTCCGATTGTTTGGCGCTACGGTGCGGATGGGAGGGAGGGATTGGAGCGGGGGGGAGGGGTGTTCATCCTATTGCCCGTGATGCACTGCGCTTACCGCTCGGATAGGAGAAGCAGAATGCGTGAATGAAGGTGGTTTGTAAGATCCATAGCAACCCCCCCCCTCCCGCCACACCAATGCGGATAAACAGGAGCCCACCGAGCAGACTCGAGCTTGCGGTTATTGAGCTCCTGGTGTTTTCGGCAGATTCTGTCGTCAGGTGGGGAAGGTCGTGGGGGGGGGGGGGTCTATCCTGACGGCTGCAGGGGGAGAGACATTCTGTTCAGCAAGCGAATTCCGCTCCGAGCCAGTTTGCTGACGGACGGGGAAAACCCGTGCTGCATGCATGCTTCTCGTGGAGCGCGGTGACGACGAAGCGACGAAGCGTACGGGACAGCCACACGTGCCCACACGCCTCCTGGGTGCTCGTAGCTAGCGGCAACGGCAAGTAGGCTTCCAACCCGGTAGAAGCACCGACTTCGCTCTCGTGTTTAGCGAATGGAGATACCGGACACCGTCATGGGAATGTGGAATTTACACCACTTGACCCTGGCAACCAGTCAACAGATGAGTGCGACCCATTCCACCGTGCTGCTGCTGTTGTTGAGATTGGGAGCCACTGCAGCTGTGCTTGTGGCTCCGGTTTTCGGTTTTGTTTTTGTGTAACGAGAGCGTGCTTGCACATGGATGCTCGTGTGTGTGTGTCTGTGTACAAGTCTATTTATATCCCGTGCCACCTACTAAATATACTGGCACAGGCTACAACCCGCCGAGCCAGCTCCTGTCCATGGTTCCTCGGTGCTGCCAGCCGAGTGGAACTGCCCTCTGGTCAACGTGGCCCCAAATCAATGCGAGGAGACGTTCATCCCAGGGCAGCAGTCCGGCGCACTGTGCTCGGAGCCCGGTGGCACAAGTTCGATTTTATTGCTCTCTTGAACATCGGTGGCAAGTGATGTCACCTGCCCTGCCCCCCCCAACTCACCAACCCATCTTGGTGAAGTATGGTCAAACAACTCCCAGCAGTGGATTAAAAAGGGGCTATAAATTTTACAATAACTAAATGTTGGGCATACATTGCCCGATGGGTCGATCCCTGTTCATTTGTCATAGATTGACGCTCTTTTTATTGACTTTGGAGAGATTCGAAGCCGCGACAATCTGCCTGGGAGGACCGCTGTCTGCCAGCGCGCTGCCAAAACCGAGGAGCGGTGGGTTCTCTAACCTCTGAGCTACAAGAACACTGGGACTCGTTATAACAGCAAGGGGGGAGCATCTCGCGATACCTGAAGAGGGGGTGGAGCACTATGCGGAAACGCATTATTATTTTTACCCGAGGTGAAAAATAGTGCGACTTCTGATGTCGCCGGGAAGATTAACAGAATTCTCCAGACGGCAACTGCCGTGGGCAAGAGGGACGATCCTGGGAAAGACCACGATGGCCCCACACCCTGGTGGCAGCAGCAGCAACACCCAAACAAACAAAACAATTTGTATTTTACCAGGTAAGGCCTTACTGAGCGATACAGTAAGGCCTTTTTTGATGGTCTCCTCCTGGCTGCAGGTGGGCCTAAGCCGATTCCGAGCCCCATAGGAATATGTGGTCAGGCAGCGCTGAGGTTGGAGCATCGGGGGGTGGGGATGGGGGAGGTTGTGAGTTTGAATCCTGGTCCGTGGTTTGGTCAGTCTCTCTCTCTCTCTCTTGGCCACCCGCTCTCTGACACGTCGTCATCCAGCCCTACGAACTGACGAGATTGGGTAAATCACGGATGATTTAGCCGTAGACTAAAATTCTAACCTCTTGTGTCGTCGTCTTCGTCGTCGGCCTTAATAAATCCACCGCCTCCATCTCTCGATGCGAATGTCGCGGTTGCCATTCGTCCGGTGGGTCTTGTCGTTTGTCATCGGGTTGTTACGGTGTAATCGTCACCTCCTCGTCCTCGTTCTCCCGGCAGACAAATCGTGCTTCAACGCCCTCTTCAACTACGAGGACATGCAGGAGATCATCAAGAACTTCGCCGTCTACCACATCGACGCTCCGGGCCAGCAGCCAGGGGCGCCGCTGTTCCCGCAGGGGTAATTGTCGCGCCCTCCTATTCCATTTCCTTGTTCAGGAGGAGGCGGCCGTCGCTCCGAGCTCCAGAGAGTGGAACCGTCGTGACCAAGGAAAAACCCCTGGGTTCTCAGTGCAGCGAGTTGAAGGTCTCAGCCCGGTCGCGAATGACTGCGCGCAGAAAAAACGAAACGGGCGCATTAAATTTGGTTCCACCACCTCTGAGAATTAATTGTCAGTTCTCATGTCGTGCGATGGACATGACGCTCACGTGCAGAGCGAGTAACAAAGTGCTTCCTCCTGCCGACCAGAGGTCGTTTGACGGCATATCAATAGCAGTTCTGTTATGTCCTTGGGCTGTTGTCTGACACGGCCGAGTTAAATCTCAGTGTCTTGGTACGACGCCATGGAGCCAGGTTGGGCTAAGATTGGGTAAAATAACAAAAAAATGTGTTATTCCCAAATGAGCCTGCCGCCCTTGAGAGTAGCACCTTCATGTCTGTTTTTATGCACTGCTTTGTGCACCACTCCCAGAGCCAACCGTGGCGTTGTCTCGTGAGCAGTGAGAGAGAGAGAGAGTTGATCGCTGCAAACGAAGCTGCAAATTGTCACCGATTTAGACGCGAACAAGAAATCGCAGGCGCGGAGCTGCGGAGAATTGGGGCAGTCGTGGTGTGACTAACACGCTAAACACAGAATCTACGCGGACGCTGCGATGCGTTCAGCTTATTGTGTGTTTTTTCAATGGCCGCATTCAAGTTGTCGTCATCCCTGTTGGAGTGAACGCCCCGATCGTGAACCTTCTTCCAGGTCCGCACGTGGCCCGTTAAAACCGAGGGCGATGACCATATTTGCAGAGCCAAGTCACTAGGAGACCGTTAACCTCTTAAACTCGCCAAACATTTGATTCCGGCTCCCCGATCCACTCCCCTCTGGACCGGGCCGGTGCAGCGTGATTGTAGATTGGGTAAAAGCTTTATTGTTCGGCCGCACGGCCATTTTTGTTTTCTGCAAGTGTAACCGATGTCTTGTCCTGAATGGCCAGGTACCAGTACCCGTCCATGGACCAGCTGGCCGACATGCTGCCCGGGGTCATGACCCATTTCAGGTGAGGAGTCTTCATCTCCACGGACTCGTTCCCCTCGCCTCGAGCGCGTCCGAGCTCCGTGTGGACAACGTCGGAATGCTGCCGTGTGACCGGCGTCGGTCAAAACCCTCCCTAGTGTCGAAAAATGACAATATCGCAACAAGCGGCGGACGCGCTACCGCCAGCTCCACGTCACGATCCCGTCGCCGCGTGGCGTCTGCCAACGATGCCCCAACTTGTCGCAAAGTTGAATCCGGTATCTAGAGGCCGCACCCTGCACGTGGATCGAAACGGCGGACGTCGTGCCGAGCAGCACCGCGGTGCATCTCAAAATCACGCGGTTATCGCTTTGGCTGATCGACCAATCGGATAGCACGAATACAGTTGGGGAAGTTTGGCGGCGGAAAGTTGAAAGTCTCGCCGCTGGTCCCGCGTGTGGCGTTGGACGGGAGGTGATGGGTGGTTTTTGTGACACCACCGGCGCGGCCTGCCCCATCACGCTGGACGTGGCTTATATTCTTGGTTCTTTCGGTAAAGTCACGTTGAAGGGAAACAATAATGGATGTGGCTGGTTGGGGGTTTCCTGCCTTCGGGAGGAAGGGCGTGAGGGCAACCACCGCCCGGGTAATTGGCCACAAAAGAGGAAGCGGAGACGATTTTCTTCCGATCTCTACGCTTTAGTGGCCTAATCGTCGTTTGTTGTCGATTTCGTCATCGGCAGTGGCTTCCGCCGCGGTTGAACCGCTGCTGGTCATTGAACTCTGCTCTGACCCCGTGTGTGCTTCATTTTGCGTGGAATCTCCGCAGCCTGAAGAGCATCATTGGGATTGGAGTGGGCGCAGGCTCATACGTGCTGGCGCGGATGGCCGTGAGTATTTAAATTTATAACGCAGGAGTCGCTCGCTCTTGTAGAGGGAGAGAGAAATATTCGGAGGAACCACAGACGAGCTGGAAGGCAGCCAGGCCGTGAGCCCTCAACGATTGGCCAAGCTCGTGCCGCATCATTGACCGTTATAGGCGCTCACTATAACTACACCTGCCCCGCATAATAATAATTGACACTTGTGACACGGCCTTAATCGTGCCACTTTGGTTTTCATCGAGACCGAGCGGGGTGCACGTGTAAATGCACTTGCGCGCGTCTCTGCGTGCTCGCGCGCATTGCACTTAGTCCCTCTGTTCGTGTCGCGTATTTATCGAGACCTCCAGGACGGGTAGAGCCGGAGCGCCCCTCGGAAGGGGTGCACGGTTTTTTGCCTGGGTGAGAACGTTCGAAAGCAGCATCCGCTGCTGCTGTCGCGGATTTCTGCAGCTGGTCGTACCTTGCACAGTCACCATTTACAGCCACGTTTCTTTCCGCCTGTCGGGATGCGCGGAATTCACGAGCGGTGGCCACTTTTGATTTAAAGCTTTCGTGACTGCAGTGATTCATACTCTTTGTTCTTTCGGTAAAGTAACGTTGAAGGGAAACAATAAAATAAAATATATAAAACAATAAAATTCTCACGACGTTTCGACTGCAACACAAGCTTTCATCATCAGGTGTGAAAACCAACGGTAAGAACATTTGAAAGAAGTGGTGGTTTGTATTTATTTATTTATTTTTACACGTTAGCACCACGGATAGCGATTTGACAGTTTGTTTAGATGGACGAGTCCATCTACGTTCGGAAAAGAGGAGGGGGGAGACGAAAAATTAATGTATGCTGTCTGAAAGCCACCGTAAGCGTGAACAATCAATTAAGACCCGAAATGGTTTATCAAATCTTTCCAATGATTGCTAAGCCAGAATCCATCTTCTCGGTTGAAATTGTCTCTGTTTGTATATGTAGTAGTTACATTGGAGAAACCAAACGACATGTCTCGGACCGCATTCGTGAACACAAAGCAGACCTTAAACACGGTAGGACCAACACCTCGGCCGTGGCAGATCACTGTTATAATTCAGTAGGCTCACATGACATTGACTTCTCCAAGACAGAGGTTCTTTGCAAGCCATCTAGCTACCATGAGAGCTTCGTTCATGAGGCTATCCACATAAACAAACACAGAGACAATTTCAACCGAGAAGATGGATTCTGGCTTAGCAATCATTGGAAGGATTTGATAAACCATTTCGGGTCTTAATTGATTGTTCACGCTTACGGTGGCTTTCAGACAGCATACATTAATTTTTCGTCTCCCCCCTCCTCTTTTCTGAACGTAGATGGACTCGTCCATCTAAACAAACTGTCAAATCGCTATCCGTGGTGCTAACGTGTAAAACTAAATAAATACAAACCACCACTTCTTTCAAATGTTCTTGCCGTTGGTTTTCACACCTGATGATGACTGCTTGTATTGCAGTTGAAACGTCGTGAGAATTTTATTGTTTTATATATATTTTATTATTTTATTAATTCCCTTCAACGTGACTTTACCGAAAGAACCAAGAGTATGGTGGCCACTTTGTTTATTATTGGCGCTGTCGCACGCCAAAGCCGGAACAAAAACGGCCTCTGCCGACGACGCTTTTTCACCGCGTGATTTCTTATTTCGTCTTCTCGTGTTGACAGTTCCCCCCCACGGGCCGCAGAGGGAGCGGACACCTGACCCCCTCCCTCCCCCCGCCATAGAGCCCTGCTACCCACGACTCGCCATCTCGTAGCGGAACAGAGATTTAAAGTAGAAGGAGCAAGATGATAATCGTAGAGCTACGTCTCTCCAGGAAAGCGAGAGAGGAAGGGGCGTGGGGAAAGAGAGGCTGTGACACCTGAAATGAAAACGGTGCAGAGCCTCGATGCATGAGCACCATGGCAGGGACCGGTGAGAGACCCAACCCACGTGGTGTCCCCTGTTCACATTCGTTAGCAGCAGGAGAAGCCCCTGACGAACTCCTGTAGAGATCGCGAGGAGGGAACTGTCGCGGGGACGGCAAGGGGGGGTGGGGGTGGTGCCCTGCGGACGCCGGACACCGATTGGTAGATCCGGCTGCTTCTGCCAGGGTGCACAACCACGGACTCGGCCCGCGTCTCTCGGTGGCGTGGTGCCATGGTCCCGGTGGCAGCGTTGCATCGCGAGACCGTCGTTTGCGATGTTGCCGGCTTGGGGAGGACCTTCATCCAGCAGTGGATAGATCGTGGCTGATAGTAATAATTTGTATATATATACTGCTTCATCTTCTTGGTCCTTTCGGTAAAGTCACGTAGAATGGAAATAAAATCATAAAAATAAAACAATAAAGTAAAATTCTCACGACGTTTCGGCCACAACACAAGTAGCCTTCTTCAGGTGAAGAAACAGGTCTGTCCAGAAGACAGAGCTTGAATGAACACTGTCAAGCAAGGACCGCGTCTTTTAAGCTGTGTGGGCGGAGTTAACATATGAATTAGCATGTTACCAGCCCTACCTCCGGAGCTGGGCACAGAAAAAAGCAGAACAGCCAAGGTGCGCTGCTCTGTCCTGTGTTGTGTTTATAACTATGCTATAAACTGGACTACTATACAATATTATACCTTCCAATCTAAACTACATGGTACAACATCATATCCATAGACAAATTCCACCTTTGAATTATACAACGCGTTACTTTACACTACCCTATACTTTAGACTATAAAATATTAGACTTGTAACATTACACTGTCTTATTCTATGAACCCAACTATATACCACACTGCTGTATATTCACTATGCAATTACGATACTATATATTGCCTTATGAATTATGTTAAACATTGCAATGTTATACTATTTATTATTATACCACATGCTATAAACCATACCATTAACCGTGGTGTGAGAGGTATTAAGAGGCAGTGCCAGCGAATGGACTGCGGTCTGAAGGTCACCGTAAAATACAATCAATTAAGAACCGAAATGGTTGATAACATCTTTCCAATGGTTACTAAGCCAGAATCCATCTTCTCGGTTGAAATTGTCTGTGTTTGTATATGTGGATGGCCTCATGAACAAATCTCTATATACTGCTTGTGTATATATGTATATCACCTCTGATTTTACACGGTTGGCTACGTACGGTCCAAAAGAAGTTAGACATACAGGCACGTGTGTGTAGCGACGTGTAACGGCCGGACTCTGTCTGCGTGTGGTGGTGGCGGCGATCGCAGATGAACAACCCGAGCCTGGTCGAGGGCCTGGTGCTCATCAACATCGAGCCGCACGCCAAGGGCTGGTTCGACTGGGCAGCGTCCAAGGTGAGAGGGGAGCGCCTCCTCCCAATCCCCGTCATCATCATCATCATCGCCTTCCTCGTCTACGCCATTGTTGTCCTGGTCACGGCGTTTCTCATCGTCGCCCACGCCCATCAATATACCACCGATTGGTGTCCCTGTCGATATTGACCTCGTCGTTCGCGGAATAATAATTGATTATGATAATACTAATGGAGTACGCTTGGTGGTGGCGCTCTCGCGCTTATCGGGAGGCTATCGTCACGAAGGGAGGAGCTGCTGCTGCGTCTAGCAGGGACAGTCAGCGATTATTTTGTCCTTTGGGGGCCGATGTTGCTGCTGTGCGCGATCTGAATCGAGTAATTAGCGGCTATATTTTTTGGTAAAAGTGGCAAATTTGGACCACGACACTGGGCATGCAAACGGCTTCTTGTTTACAATGACGTTGTGTTATCTCTCACGTCCGCCGTGAAGCGCTGCGGCGTGCGGCGTTCCTACGGGCCCTACACGCGACCACCGCCACCGCGGTATTAACCAGGGCGGCCTGGGGAGTAGCTCGGCATCGCCACGTTTCGTGTTTGAGTCGCGATGATGACGATGGGGGAGTTTCGCGACTCTTTTTGGGTTCGTCTCTGCAGATCACCAACCTGACCAACACCCTGACTGACACCGTCCTCTCTCATCACTTCAGCCAGGTGAGGCTCCTCCCACGCTCTCCCCCACGCTCTCCCCCACGCTCTCCCCCACGCTCTCCCCCACGCTCTCCCCCACGCTCTCCCCCACGCTCTCCCCCACGCTCTCCCCCACAGCTCTCCCCCACGCTCTCCCCCACGCTCTCCCCCACGCTCTCCCCCACGCTCTCCCCCCACGCTCTCCCCCAAGCTCTCCCCCACGCTCTCCCCCACGCTCTCCCCCACGCTCTCCCCCACGCTCTCCCCCACGCTCTCCCCCACGCTCTCCCCCACGCTCTCCCCCACGCTCTTCCGCTCCCCCTCCCCATGCTTGTACCGGCCTCATCCGTGCACCGTGCGCTTGCAGTCGGAGCTGAGCAACAATGCAGACCTGATGCAGACCTACAAGCAGCACATGCTGGAGGAGATCAACCAGCAGAACCTGTCCCTCTTCGTCAATGCCTACAACAGGTGCAGGCCCCAGCCCACACGCGACACCGCAACGCAACACACGCCACACCACGACACCGCAACGCACGCCACACCACGACACCGCAACACACGCCACACCACGACACCGCAACACACGCCACACCACGACAGAGCAACACACACCACACCACGACACCGCAACACACGCCACACCACGACACCGCAACACACGCCACACCACGACACCGCAACACACGCCACACCACGACACAGCAACGCACGCCACACCACGACACACCATGACACACCATGACACACCATGACACAGCAATGCACGACACACCACGACACACCACGACACACCACGACACACCACGACACACCCCGACACAGCAACGCACGCCACACCACGACACACCACGACACAGCAACGCACGCCACACCACGACACACCATGACACACCATGACACAGCAATGCACGACACACCACGACACACCACGACACAGCAACGCACGACACACCACGACACACCACGACACCGCAACGCACACCACACCACGACACCACGACACCGCAACACACGCCACACCACGACACTACAAGGCACACCACACCACGACACCGCAAGACACACCACAGCACGACACCACGACACCGCAAGACACACCACAGCACGACACTGCAAGGCACACCACACCACGACACCGCAACGCACGCCACACCACGACACACACGACATGACACCGCGACGCATGCCGTCGCTCTTCACGGTCACGTGATGCAAAATTTCGGACTTTTGCTTCAACAAAAATATCGTTGATTTGTCTTTCGCGGGATCTGGAAAGAAACTATGAAATCCCACACAAGTGAGGACATGACTCTCCAAAACCCCTACGTATAGGTGGCAGAACCTACTTGCTGTACTTTCTAGCTCAGCCGCCCTCCTGCAGGTGGGCGTCTCGCGATGCATGATCCGCTCGCCACGATTCCGAAGCCTTTGGGCTCCTTCGCAGGCGCATTCCTCCACACAGCCCCCTTGCGTCACGACCCCTCCATGAACCCCCACCTCACCACTCTTTCTTGTCCCGGTTTCCCGAACTGGGTTCCTCCTCACCCCCCCCCCCTCCCCCTCTCAATTCTGCTTTTGTAGCCGGAGAGACCTGGACCTGGGGAAAGCATCGCTGGGGCAGCCGGCTAAGACTCTCAAGTAAGTCGGCACCTGACTATTATTATAATTGCTGCTACTCCGCTTGGTTACCCTCAAATGCTTCATCGAGTCTCGATACTCTTTTGCATGAGGATCCTGGCTGAGTTTCACACTTGGGGGCGATGTTCCTTGATACGATCCCTATTGAGTAATTTGTGGGTTTTAATTTTTCGAACCGTTACACTGCCGCACAACGACCTGCTCATTTTCCAATAACGTCACGGCATCTTTAAACGGGCACCGCGAAACGGGGCGGCGCTTGTTATCTTTTTTTCCGGCTTAACGCTCCCACAGTGATAACCAAGGGTGACCGTGGGGTACGAGTCCTGAACATCGCACCGCCAAAATCGAATCTCGATGCTGAACCGCGAGAGCCGGCGTGGCGGGACAGAGAGAGAGAGAGCGCTTGCACGGCTATCGGAGCTACGGCTTCCCTTGTGGCAGCAGCCGCTGGAAAAAAGCGTCCCCACGCATCCCGGTGGTCACATGACTCGTCCCCCTTGACATTTAGTTTGCAGTGTCTGCAGCCCGCAGAGCTAAAGCTTTCATATATATGAAATCTCTTATTTAATTAAAATAAAAAGACATTTTTGATCCAAAATATCAAGGTGCCATAGGTCAGAGCGACCCGGAGATCAGTCATGGGCAGAGAAGTGGCGCGGGGGCGGCACTGACGATGTTGGCGCTTCCCTGCTAAGTGGCAGAGCGTCGGGGACGTGGCTTTAGGGGACGCGGCTTAAGGGGACGCGGCTTAAGGGGACGCGGCTTTAGGGGACGCGGCTTTAGGGGACGCGGCTTTAGGGGACGCGGCTTTAGGGAACGCGGCTTAAGGGAAAGCGATTTAAGGGGACGCGTGGTTCCTTGAGAGAAGATGGTGACAGCACAGCTCCCGGAGCGGCCGATCTCTGAGCAGCGACTGTCGGATGCTCTGCGAGCACTCGAATTTACTGAAGCGATGTGGTCTTTGCCCCATCGGTTGCGGCGCGAGCGTGGCACGGCAGCCCCGTTTGTCCACTGCTGGATGAGGGGGCCGGCCCTCTCCGTGCGGGTCCCCGGAGGTTATTGGATAGCAGTCGGCCGCGCCGTGGCGCCGAACTCGACAATGCCGATCGCGTCGGCGCGGCCTCTCGCCGCTCCCCCCGTTGACGCCCAATCCCTTGTCCCCCGCAGGTGTCCTGTGATGCTGGTGGTTGGAGACTCCTCGCCGATGGTGGACGCTGTGGTAAGCGGGCATCTGGGTGGCGACGTGCACGGCCGGCGTCTCGCTCGTCGCTCGGCTGGCTCTCTCCATCCCGGGCTCCTCGGGGTTCTTTCTCTCCTCCTGATGAGCCGCAGCCGTTCACGAAGCCCCCCCCCCCCCCCCTTCCCCCCGCGTCGTGTCGACAGTGCGAGCTGGTCGATCATGCTTCACCACGCTCGGCAGTGCGTGCGTTGGTCAAGCCGTCACCCGGGTCCCGTTGAGATGTCAATCTCGCCGCCGATGTTGGCAGCAGTCGAGAATCGACCTCGGGTCGCCGGGTTCGCGCCTCAAAGCGCGAACCACCGCGCCACCGCTCTGGCCTAAACGTCGCTGTAAACCTCTTTGCAAATGGGCCCAGTGGGCTTCAGAGCGGTGACCTCCAGTCCATCAGTTGATACGATTTTATACGGCGCTGCGCTATAACCCGGTCACCGGGATTCATGGCACAGA